GCCCTTCACTGCCCGACCCTTCACTGCCCGGCCCTTCACTGCCCGACCCTTCACTGCCCGGCCCTTCACTGCCCTCCCTCTGCCTCCGCAGGAACCGGAGAGCACCGAAGCGTCCCAGTTTCGCCTGGCGGCCGGCCGGATCCCGGAGGTGCCCTTCGGCCTCAGCACCAGCCCCGCCGTCCTGTCCCACTACGGCGTCTCGGCGAACACCGTCACGCTGTTCCGCAGGGTGCGTGGGCACTGCGGCGTGGCGGGGGGCACACACAACCTCGAGCAGCTCCCGGGGAACACGCTGCCAGGCAAAAACCTGTTTCTCAGCATGAGCACTCTGATTTTGGGGCCCCCTCACGTTGGCATGGGTGAGAGGGGCTCTAGGACAAGCACTTTTCAAGGTGCCCGCAGTCACGGCACAGAAGGGAGATCTCTGGGAAGCAGTGGTAAAAAAAACATTGAAGCTGCTCACCTCTCCTTAGAGCAAGCCAAAAAAAGGCTTGTCATTGGCAGTCAGGCTGCCTGCCCACCTCAAAGCACATCGGTATAGCTTCCTGCCCCAAAGAGGGCTTTTGCTTTTGGTTTGCAGAGTGCCTGTCACTGAGACATGGAACATTTATCACATCTGATGAGATTCGCCTTTTTAAGTGTTTGCCCTATGGATCTGGTTCAGCACCCAGTGCTCTGCAAAGAGCAATGTCTGTGTTTCTGCATGACCTGCCTGGAGCTCGGCATTAACTTGGATGGAATTTCCATAGTTTCGGAAAAGGTCCTGAGACATGAAAAGTGTCTAGAGCCCATGTTACAATGGATCAACACAGCAGGCTTGATATCAAATCTTGCCAAGTGTCACTTCAGGCAGGCAAAGCTGTCTCCTAGCACACAAAACTTTTCCATCATGACTGAAAACAGATCCAACTGGGTCTCTGCAGTTACAGATGCTCTGCCACCAAAAGAAATCCCAAATGCTTTTTTCTGTCTCCTACACTGTGGTTTGCAGACTTAGTCCCTAAATAAGCTTTGGTCATGGACCCATTAGAAATGTTACTTCAGAGTTTCTTAGGTATGGAGACTGTGCAAGATCAAATTTTTGTTGACCCCACTGTATGTGCTGGTGCTTCACTGTAGCTATGTTTGCTGAAATTTAAGGAGATGATACTGGAAATGGCCACGTACTTGCTTCAAGAATACCAAGAAAAGCTAAGAGCAAATGTTCTGCTGGTTATATCAATTTCCTTGTGTTGCCCCTTTTCACACAAGCATGGCACTTGAGGAGAGGTAGGTATATCTGAAGAGCAAAGGGGCCCCAGGTAGCACAAGAAATCCTAAGAGCCAGTGAAGTGTTGTGTCACCAGAGCTCTAAGTGCATGGGGTGAGGAGAAATGGGGACACACTACATGTTCTAGGGAAACTAAATATGTCAGCTTGGCCAAGTTCTAGATCTAGGTTGTACAAAGATTGGACAAAGACAGTTTGTTCTCTGTTCTTTCTCATCATTTCCTGCACCGTGTTTACCACTGACATTATCCAAATAATTCAAAAAGAATGATCTAAGAGTGAGCAATAGGTAGGCAGGTCCTTTTATTTAACCATTTATTTACTGTGTGTAGATGTTGCAATTTCTAAGCAACACCCTTTTCAGTTTTGGTTTTTAGTCATGGTGGTTTTCTTCCAAAAGTACTGAAAACATCCTTTGTTTTCGTGCTGTGGCAGATAGTGAGGATGACTGCATTGGAAGAGTGTTTGATAAAATAAAGTGTTTGGATTCTTGGAATTTGGATTATATTGAATATTCTTCATTTGGAATCCAGTTTTTGTGACTGAACTCTTGTTTAATAGAAAAAAAAACCAGCCAGGAAAATAATACACTAGTCAGGTTTAAATGTGGTTGACAGTTCACTTGTCTGATTGTCAATTTTTCTTAAATTATCAGACACATTATTTTTCATTTCATCTTGTGCTGGATAATGTGTAGGAGTTAGCGGTCAGAGATAAAAAGGAATTTTAAAAGAACGGATACAGGAACTTGGAATCAAATACTCATTTGAACAATACAAAGATGCATGACCAGGATAGAAGTGAATCAGAGGCGTAAATTAATTTTTTCTTTGCTTTTTGCAGAGTATGAAACACTTGTAATGCTTAGAAGTTTAAGTCATAATTACAGTAGTAGGAGGGACTGCTGTCAACTGGTGAGACTTCTCTGCATATAGCGTAAGAAAACTGATTTATTCTAGTGAGGAATCTGGCCTGATGGACCTAAAAAGAACATAATTAACAGATGCTAACAACCTAATTATATGGAGTGATAAAGACATTTTGACTACAGCTTCAACTATTAGATGCAGGCTATTTTCCATCCTTATTTTCTTAAGAACATAAATGTTGGGTGCAGATTCAAGATGTTATTATCCCAAAATGGAAATCGGGTGTTTTCAGAAGCCCATGAAAGTCAAGAGAATACTTTCTGTAGGGTCCAGGGTGCTTTAGATTGTTTCCCAAGGCCTATCTGATGTCACCTGCCCAGGTGTTGCACTGTCCTCATCTTACTTACTTGAGCAGAACTACTGTTTCATGTTATGCAGAAGGAAAATCTGTGAGAGCAATTGGGCCACACAGTCTGAAAAGCACCAGCTTGGGTTGTAATACAGGGCGAGTGATTGGTATAAAAGACCTTGCCAGTGACCACAGAACAGCAAAAATGACTTTAAATGTCTGCACCCCACAGGAAAAACTAACACAAACACTTTCAGACGTTGTACAGATGTGGGGAATAAAATCTGGAGTGTGCATATGGGTCTCTCCTTAGCCCCAAGAACCTCATTCAACCTGTGTATCAATGGCCATCAAATCCCAAACTTTAGTCCTATTTCATGCCAGGGCCCAGTGTCCCCATGGCTTAACTCAGTCACTTCCTGTGCTGGTACTGCACAGGAACTCTGCCCCTAAACTGGGATGGTTTAGCTATCATTCAATGGTTGCCTGCTTCTTTTGTGTTTACCAGGTCATGAAAACCTCAATAAAATCACATCATTCTGGGGAAAAGGAGTGTGGGAAGATATGCGGCAGGATGGATTTTCCTCTAAAACTAAGACATGCTGGACTTGATTTTTTTTATTTTTTTCCTGTTGTGCTGGAAGAAAAATCCTCTTTTTATTGGAGAGATTTCTTACTTGCACAATGTTTCCAGGAATTCCATACAGGTCCATGCCAATGTTTATTACTTGTAGAAGAAACAGAATAAGCAGACAAAGACTTTTTAAAAGGGATGTAAAGCCAAAATCTATGTGAGGAGTTAGGCTATTTAATGATCTCTTTCCACAGTGCCTAGAATACTTTGTCAGCTAATCCTCCCTGTCTCCAGTGCAGCAGAAGCTGATAGTGTAGGGATGGATGGAGTCCTAAGTGATTTCTGCTATGCCATGACTTTGCCTTGTACATGGGACACTGAAAAAGGATGGAAGATCTTAAAGTGCAGACTGGCCTCTGTAGGTTCTAGACCTCCAGAAGTGGTGGTGGGGAGAGGTGGGAATTATGTTGTAATGGAGAGAGGATGGCGGTGTCCCAGAAGGTTCGTGTGTCTGTGAGTGAGTGCCATCAGTGCCTCTGGAGGGGGTGCTGAGATGAGAGGACAGCTGTGACTGTAGGTGTCTTTGCATGTCTTCAGGTAGACAATGACCGGAGGAATCTGGATATGAACAACGAAGATGTTGATACTGAGAAGATGACTCGTTTTGTTCGGATAAATGAGCTCCGCCTGGTGACAGAGTACAACCCTGTGGTAATTAGCAGCTCCCTGCAGCCCTCACCCTTGCACTTGGCCTTCTCATGGGTGTCCCTGGGCCCAAGAATTTGCATACCTAGATGTGTGTAAGGGTGGATGGGGTTGAGGGAGCCGTGCAGCTCTTCACTGCTTCTCCATACGTGGCCTGGAAGCAGATGCTTTGCTGGGGTGTGTGGGTGGGGTGGGAAAGGAAGGGAGTCATGGCAGTTCCTTTAGCTTTCCAGTAAATTTGGGATGTTGATGGGCAGAGAGCTCCATTCCTTACCACTCCTGCAGGCAGTGCTGCTTCCTCACATGGACATTTGCCATGTTGTGCCATGCCTGCAGACTCACCTCAACCAGAATCTCCTCTCTTTGGCTTAGAAGCCTTGAGAAACATGGAAACTCAAAAGACCCACTCCCAGAAGGCAGGCTTTTCTTCCTCACTCACTGGACAGGGTTTAATGTAAGCCTAGATATTTGACTGCATATTCAAGAGCAGGTTGGGATCTTCCCAAGCAAAATTTTTCACATCCCCTCCATCCCTTACTCCAGAATTCATCTGTTCAGCAACAACAACAACAACAAAAACCCACACCTGCAACACACACACACACACACACACAAAATCAGGCTTAGGATGCTTCCATGTTGGCCATTTTCTCTGGCTCACCCATCTGACTGCCACTGGCAGGGTCACAGTGGTCTTCCCTGCTGTAGAGGGTGACCAAGGATTTAGGCTTCTCTGAAATCTCAGCAGTTCACTGGGCTAGCTGCTGTGGAGTCAATAGGTCTTAGAAGCCCCAGTGGCTGCAAGGCTGAGAATTTATCATTGCTGATGGGGTATTTTGTGGCCTTCTGGATAGCTACAACAGTGCTGACCAGGCTCATTTTAATAAAAGGAGAATGGCCCAACCTGTTTCAGAGCTGTATCTTTTCAAGTTGATCCCAAGGATCGTCTAAGAGAACTGATACAATATGCATTTCAGTCACAGCCCGCAAGTAGGAGAGCTTTTTTCTTTGAAAATGTAAAATTTTTGTTTCCACAATGAAATACTGTTGAAGTTTGTCTTTTTTCTTTAATAAAAAAACCCAAAACAAAACAAAACAAAAAACCTAAAAAAACACCTCCCAAAGAAGTGGATTTGCTTTCTCATCTTCATAAGCGATGTGAAAAATGCATTTTAAAATAACAGAATGTTTCTGGGGACTGCTATATCCTGCCCCACTCTCCTCAAAGCCCTTTGAGAGCACCCAGATCATGTTGGCGGGGATGTTCTTGTTAGCTCTATAATTGCCCAGACCTTCTTAACCTTTGGAACTCCCATTGCATCCGTTTGCAATTCATTAGATCATAAGTCTTTGTTCATGTGTTTCTGCTGATGCTTTGGGTTCTCACTGCATGGTGTCCTGTTTGGCACCCAGGCTGTGTCCCTGACCGAGAAGTCATGAGCTGTTCAGCTGGTCCCCTCCACCCTGACTGTCAGTGCACAAGTTGTTAGGTTTTTCTCCAGACACTCTGGAGTGCTATCAAGGTGCTGCAATTAACAGCACCTCCTGCAGTCTCTGGCCCAAAGCCCTCCTAGCTCCCCTAAGGTAGCCTGGGTTTTTGTAAATATTTTTTCCCGGTGCATATGCTGTTTGCATCCAAGAATGCTGCTGGTCAGCAGAGGATGGGGTCACATGGGTTGCACCGAGTGCTGCCAAGAGTTTCACTCTCCATTCTGGGGCCCTTACTGTTTCTCTTCCATACTTAAGGCATTATTAGGCAATGCTTACCCTGTGGGCTTACCAGGAGAGTCAGAAATGACCTGACCATGTTGATGAGCTCTGCTAATTGCTCTTGCACAAAGTTGTGTGGACAAGCACACCTTTGTGTGGAGCTGCTGGAGGACCTGCTGCTCCAGCCCTGTCCACTGTCAGCCCAGCCTTGTCATGGCCCTTGGTGCTGGCTGACTTCCCCCTCACCTTCCCCCTCATCCTCTCCCATGAGGTTCCCTAATGTTCTCCAGCCTTAGTTTGCATCCCTTTTACTCTCCCCTGCCTCAGCTGTGCACCAGCAGAGGAGTGAAGGAATACAAAATGTCTGATAAACATTAGGCTAACAGCAGAGTCTCGTCTGCCAAAAACTAGATGCTCTGTAGTGCACTGCCTTTGCCAGCATGCACTCCCTGACCCCTTCCTTGTTACTCCTGGAGCCTGTGGAAACTTTCTGCTCCTGTTGGCCAGGAGCTGTACAGTCTGTGCCTCTGTGGTTTCGGTGGCACGGGGGAGGCAGCAGGTCTGGCCCTGTTAGTGTTTAATTTGAGGGAGAGGCTGCAGGGCTGCAGGAAGCAGACGGAAGGAGAAGTGAGATGACGAGTGAGTGAGTTCATCGAGATGGTGCGGTGGCTTCTTGGGCAGTGCCAGCCCTGTCTCCTCACAGAGGGCCAGTGTGTATTGATTGCCTGCTTGGCCCTTGCCTGGAGAGAGAGACAGCTGGCTCCAGGTCTTCTCTCACTGTGGGACTGCCAAGGCAATTTTAACCCTCAGCACTCTGGAGTCCCTAGGCCCTGGGGTTGCTGGAACTCTGGACTCATTCTCATCCTATGCACAGCCTAACACTAAAGAAAAAAAGTAAGGGGAGACACCAACCTTGACACAACAAATCCTTCCCACTTTCTTGCTTCCGTTTCAGCTGGATGCTGGACCTCAGTGATTTAGAACACCCTTATATTCACTGTTTGCTGGCCTTTACTCTCCACATCCTTGCTCTAGTCTTTAGCTTGCTTTATATAGGCGGTTCCCCTACCTAATCACTAACTATCTTGAGGACAGTGGTGAACCCTTGTGGTCTTCAGATACTCATTTTAGGAATAAGCAAAATCAGGGGATTAAGTACTTCCACAAAGAACCCAGATTGGAACCCTCCTGCTTTGAAGAAACCTGTCCTGCTTGTGATGTTGATTTGCAAAGAAACCTCAGCCAAGTCAGGAGCACTGATGTCCCTCTGACACTGCATCCAATACAAATTGAATGTTCTCAACCTCCTTGTCTGTGTGTGCTTTTCTCTCTGTGATGGGCAGACAGCAATAGGTGTGATGCAGAGTTCGCTCCAGTTTAACCTCCTCCTGATCACAGACAAGATGTCCCCAAAGCACCCTGAGCGAATGCGCAAGTTTCGGGCGGCAGCAGAGCTCTTCAAGGGAAAGGTGAGTCCAAACAGAGACAAAGAAGGGTTCTTAGGGAGAAAAAAAATACAGTAATTTCTGCCATGAATGGGGAGGGCATAATCTCCTCTGTGCATTATGAGAGCAAAGATGAAGTAGCAGGAAAAGAAGATTATTTGGGTAATTAAGTGGAAGAGTTGGTTCTGTTCACCTTTTGCCAGTTTGCCTCCTTGTGGGGAAAATATCCTCTCTATCCTGCTCCTCTTCTCTCTTGGTGGAACATTGTGTATTTCATTGCTTCTGGCCCAGTTTTGTTCCCTTGTACTGGATGATGACAAACAGCTGCTCTACTTCAGTCTGGTGACGGTTGCATTCCACTGATGTGAGAGGTTAATTTGTATATACAGCACACAAGATGCCAAGGAGCCTTATGTAAGTGACCAGATAGCAAATAATGTCAATGTTTCTTAACCCTTAGACTTCTGGTTGGATCCTGGGGAAATGGCTATTTTAAAGGAGTTGGAAGTGGGTTTCTTGAATTTTGCACACTAAGGCGATGAGATAGATGGGATGTTTGAGAGAAATTTTACCTAGTTCCCGTCCCTTGTGTACAGAGCTCCCCAAATAGTAAATCAACCCATGGCTGATTCTCTGCCTGGATTATGGAGGAATTTGTGTCTGGGGAACAGAGGAATGAACTGGCAAGCAAAGGAGAATTCAGAGCAACAGGAAGGCATTTGGACAAGATGGGAGTGGGCAGAAGATAATAACAGTGGGGACAACTGAGCTGAGAGGCAGGCGGAGATCTTCCTCTGAGAAGTGTGGAGCTGGAAAGAGTTGGGGTTTGATAACTAGAACATCTGCATGCCTCTTTTTTTGGCACTAAATGGGCAGATTAGAAATCAAGTATATCCTCACCTTCAAATTCTGGGGCCATCTCAGGACTGTGCACTCCCAAAAGTCTTGAGACATGTTTACTTTGGACCTTGCCATCTTCCCTACCCATTGGCAAGAGACTAGGCAGAAACTTTGCATCAAAGTCAAAAGGTCCCTTTAGAAGGGTTTTGCTTTGGTGAGTATGTAGTGATAAAAAACCCCTCATTTATCTGAAAAATTCTATTCATCTCATGTGAGATTTGTGTTATATTAATACTATTGTCACTATCCTTCATGAGCAGCAGTCTGATACAGGTCTCCCCCAAGCAGCTAAGTCTTCTAACAAATTGCTGTTTAGCACTGCTATCCTTTGCTGATGCAGCTGCATCTAGTTTTCATGTGATACACCTAGATCTGAGAAAAGGGGAATAATTTTCCTAGAAATACTTCACAAAACATTGGATAAAATGTTGTACTGAAGTCCAGATAGTTTATGAATTTTCAGCAAGCCAAATCTAACTTTTTTTTATTCGTGCAGGCAAGTTTCCCACCAAATCAGTCGAGAAGTTTGCCAGAGTAAAATATAAAAGAATAAAGATGTGGGAATTTGACTAATTATTTCTGCTTTACTGCAGTGTTACTGCAGGACACAGAGATGAAAATAAGTTGTTTTTCCTGAAGGAATGGCACTCTGAGGAGTAAACCGTGTTTTGAATTGCCCTCTTAGAAAACAGCAAGAGAGCTATGATCCCTCTGTTTGGCTTTTAGATCTGGACAGCAAGGAGTAAGCAGGGTCATATGCCCATTTAGGTTTGTCTCCATTGTTCTGTTATGAAGAAAGACATGAATTAGTTTGTGTATCAGAAGCAGCCACTGCATAATACCATGATAATCTCTGCTAGCTAATTTTCCTAAATGGAGTTGTCTGTTGTCAGGACTACCAAGCTAACTGAGGTTTACTTCAAAACAAGTAAAGAATTGAGTAAAGTTTGCCTTTTTGTGGCTTGCAGATTGTCTGAGAATTAATGCAAGATTATTGACTTGAATTTTATTAGAGATTACCAGTGAATGATTCATATCCTGTGGGATAGTGGTGGAAGGCTTACTTGTGCTGCAGGGTTAGTGCTGTCAGTAGTTTGAGCAAGGAATCATTGCTGTGGAGTAGTGTTCAGGCTGCCTGTAAGCATGTACCACTGTACAGTGCTTTACAGCCAGAGTGCCAGAACAGAGTGGGAATGCTTGGTGTGTGTTGCAATTTCTGTACAGGCCAGTGCAAAACACAAACAGAGCCTCAAGAGGGTTCCCAAGCAGGAGAAGGGGTACCTATCCCATCACACATCTCTGTTGCCATCTGATGGAAGAATACTCCTTGTCATTATTATTGTTAGTGGGAGGGAAAAGAGAAACTTGTTGCTTGGATCGATGGAGAGGTAAAGAGGAACTACTGCTGCTGCTGAGTGGCTGACCCCAAATAGTGAAGAAAATCAGGGAATCGTGGAATCATTTTGGTTGGAAAAGACTCTTAAGATCATCTAGTCCAACCAATAATGGATCATGAAGAAGTGATTCACCTGCCAGTTCCTGGATTATGGTCCTCCTTTCATGTCTAGTTTATGATCTTCTCATTCTTGCCTGAGAGGAAGCTGAGATTTTCAGCTGGAGGATCCATGAAGCTGTATGGTGAGGACTGTTACTTGAAAACAGCCTGAACTGCACCCTGAGCAGCAGTGAGGGCCTGAAGGCAGTCTAGATTCCTCTAGATTTTATTGTGGAACCTGGGTGCTGTAAAATGCTGGAGAGGAAAAAGCAAATGGTAGATGATGCTAAGCCAGTATAAGCTGACAACAATAAGAAGAAATATGGTAGTTTTCTAGCAGACTTTGAGAAACAATTCTGGGTGGAAACAGTGAACAGAGTTCAGAGCACTGCAGCTGCAGGAGTGAATCCACCAGCCTTCTTGGACGGATCCCACTGCAATTAAATACGTGCTTATTTAAGAAAGTACTGCCAAGAGTCCAGGTTTTCTACTGGAAAGAAAATGTCAGGGTTTGCATTGCTGGGCCAAACTAGCATAATAATTTTCAGTTTTCTTGCTACAGGATCAGAGTATAGCATGATAATTACAGCTGGTGTATCTCATGGGTATTGGCAGAAGTTTCAATAGTGTGATGTTGGGAATAACAAAAGCAGCTTTTGCTGCAACTGATGCAATTGGTTTCCAATGTGAAAATGTTTTGGGTAGAGATGTTTGCAAACTCTCTTTTAGTTTGTATGTAGGTCCATTTAGAAATGGGTTCTGAGAAACTCCTGAGTGTCCTTCAGGACTTCTTCCATGGAAATGAAAAGATGATGCCCTTTCTCTTGCAGACAGTCATCCATACACTTTTTATTTTTCTTATCAGACATTACTGGCTCCAGAACTGAGAGAGAGAATATTTAGAGATGCCTCTTTTAGCAATAAACAGAGGAGCCTGTAAATATGGATTTTCTATGTCACTTAAGATATCTACAGTAAAGTTGTTTCTACACTTTTTTTTTTTTATTCAAGACCGATGTTTTAGTTTTGCTTTGATGCAGTTTGTAAGCTATGTAAGACATTATTCAAACTTCAGAATTTGATCTTTTTGCTTTTACAGTCTTCTCCAAGAATGAAGACTGCAGTTCTCTGAAGTTCAAAGTCAAACACTGGATATGAGGCTTGATCATCCTTCCTGTTTATCTTTGTTAGAAAAAACTAAGCAATGTTAGATTGGTTATTACCATTGCAGTGCTATTTTCAATTAACTTTAATTCCTTGGGCAATAACATCATTCCATATCTTAGTATTTACTAGGAACTCGATGTTCTAAAAGCACTGGGATAGGAATCAAGTTGTCAACACACCAAAACGGTATCAGTGTACAAATTTTCTGAAAGAGAGCTTATCGCAGGTGACAGTGCAAAGATAATATCATGTGTGGAGTAGAGAGTTTGTGTCAGGAGTTCGTCATCCATGAAGGATATCCATCACTGCCTGTAGCAGCAGACCTCTGAAATAAGGCAAGAAGTTTGCCACAAAATGAAACAATTTCATGGAAATAATTTCAGAGTGAAAAAAACTCAACCAATTACTATACAGGAGAGTATGAAATGGAAAGTGAACTTTCTGTTTGGGATGGAACTAACTGGTTTCTAGCAATGATAAAAGAGTTGCCATTATAAGTGGTATTTTTTTTTGATGAATTATAGCTTTGGTGAGTCGTCTGAGCAAAGGTTTGAGGCTCTTTTCAGCACTGACTGAGAAGGACAACCATATCTTCCCTTCCAAATAGGTGGAATAAAGTGCTTGTCACTGTTTATTGTAGAGGTTACCTAAATGGCTGACTGAGACAAGGCTAGGATCTGGATGGCAGAGGTTGGGCAATATGAATCTTGCCTCATCGTCATTATAATTTTCCATGATCACTGCATTTATTCTTTATGAATAGAGCTGGATGGGAATCTCAGAATAAAATAAATTCCTCAGTTTGTGTGTTTCCATTTGCTTCTGTAAGGAAGAAGGTATCTGAAATTCTAAACCCCAACATTTTTATTCTTTTATTCTTACTGTGTTTTTTGTATTCATGGATAAAATGTGTACAGCTTTTTAGTTTTTGGGGTCTTTAACAAAGACTGGAAGCTTGATAAAGTGAAGAATATTGACTAACATTTATTTATATTGCCATTTTAAAATGTTATTCATCTGTTTTAAAGGTGAAGGAGGTTTTGTATAGAAAATGACACCATTTATGAACCTAAGTATTCTAAATGCCTTTTTTTTAATAACCTCTTGTTTAACATTTGATTGAAAAGATACAGTTGCCTGTTGAATATTTCATAGAGAAAACCAAAAGTTTGTGAATGAACTGCTGAAAATGCTTCCTCTCCAGCAATGGCTTCTGTTTCCAGCTTGCTGGTTGGAAGGAGAGCTCTAAAACATTAAGTATTGCTATTCCATCTGAAAGCCACTTAGCTCAGGTCCTTAGACCTGTGAACCTCAAATTTTTGACCATTCTTTAGCTTGGTGTTTTATCTTGCAAAAAAGATGAATTAAACACTCTGAGAGAAGTTCCCCACAGCCTGTCTGTTCACTAACTTGTTTCCCTTGGGGCACAGTTGGCTTTTGAAAGAGAAATTGCAAGTGGTAAATATCACATATCCAGTGCAAGTATTGTTCCTGTTTCTGTATCTCTCTGTATAACTGCAGTTAAACCATACAGCATCCTAACTATCCTTCCTTTCCATAGGCTGTTCCCTAGGAAAGTTTCCAGATTTATTTTGGTTTTTTATAGAACATAAATTTAATAAAATAAAGAACTGGAGATTTACCAAGTTTATTTTTAGAGAAGAAAACAAGTTTTGAACTAGCTTGAGTGTTCTTCATTGAAATGATAGAAAAACATGAGTCACAGCCTGGGAATTAGGCATATCATCTTCACATTACAATTCTTTTCTTTTATTAAACTCTTCTTTTTTCTTGTGTCAATTAAGTCATAGCTTTGTCCAAAAGTACATTGAATATGCTAGCCAAATAGACTGCACAGGATAAAAAGGAGATAAAATGACACATTCTAGCTGGGTGTTTATTTCATTGTCTTGGATCTCAACTGCTGAGGGATGCTATTTAATCAGGTCACTGATTAAATTGTTTCATTGATGTAATTTTTTTTATAAAATTTATACATAATTTTTGTATTTAGCATTAATAGATAATTCAGCAAAGATTTTTGAGATAGCTGTATATTTTATTGGTAATGTTTCAGATTCTAGAATTTTAAGTTTGTGCTAATTCCTACTGCACCTCTACAATCTAGGCTGAAACTTAGCTTTTAAACTGAAATCATGGAGTTGGTCACCAATTATGATAAATTTGTACTATTGAATCATCCCAGAATAATCCTAATCCTTGGCTTGATCTTGTTCTCCAAGAATATCTGGGAGCACAGAAGACTGTAGGTCATTCTCATCCTGACTTATTCATTACTGGGCTTCTCTCCCCAGATCTGAACAACCCTTCACTGAGTTGGGCTGTCTTGCCAGCAACTTCTGTTTCCCAAATGATTGCATTTTCATTTATGTTCACTGCAGCTAACTTAAATACATTTTTTGTGTTTGGTGCTTTCATCTTCTTATCTTTGCTGTCCTGTACTTCACTCCCAGGTTCTTGCAATTGAATTTGATTCTTCACACACCAAAACATTTTCTGCTACTCTTGGTCTTGCATGTGTGTGAGGATCTTATGCAAATAACATGCAAGTAGAAGAGTCAACTTCTTTGACATGTGCTGCTAAGATAGGACATCTTGTTTCCTTATCTATTAAGAGAATAGAAGTGGAGACTGCCTTCCTGTCATACTGCAGATATATTTTTAAAGAAGGTGAAAGAAGACATTTTGGTTGGTAGTGTAAGTCTGGACTTAATAAAATACAGAAAAACGCACTGCATGGAGCTGCTAGATTGTGGCAGAGGAAAGTGTTGTTCTAACAGAGATAGTTTTCTCAAACTCTTTATAAAAAAAAAATCACTGTTAATCTTTGTATGATCGCTGTTTGGGGATCTGTTCTCTCTCTCATCTTCTGTTTTTCTCACATTTCCTTTCCTGTTTCCATCACAGATTCTCTTTATCCTGTTAGACAGCAATTTGAAGAGCAATGAACCAGTAGTGTCATACTTCCAGCTGAAGAAGTCCCAGCTACCAGCTCTGGCTGTATTCCACACACCAGATGATGAGCATGATGTGATGACTGTGGATGAAATCTCCATTGAGCGTGTGCAGGACTTCTGTAATCGTTTCATACAAAGAATGAAGAAGGTGGGTCCTGTATGGGAAACCGGGATCTTGTAGGATGATGCTGTTGTTCACAAGGCTCTTGAAGAAGATGACTTCGGTTTCTTGAACTCCTTCCCATCCCTGCCACCTTCTCTTCCACATACATTTGCACCTGAATATGAGTAAAGCATCTCTAGGGCAGAACAGAGATGGATATCTTTGCAGAGCCTCTTTCTTCATCTACAACAAGAAGATTTCACTGACCTCTGAAGGTCTCTGTGAAGCATCTATCATACAGGAACAGCAGCTGGGGAGACAAAGTGAAGGGTGCCTTTGAATGCTGAGAATGGGATGGTGAATGGCCGCATATGAAAGTGGGTGAGAGAAAAAATGGCATAGATAGGAATGAAATCTATCGAGAAGGCTACAGAACAGAGTATACAGATGGGGGCTTAGGACTCTAGTAGAGGTCTCTGCTGGGAGAGGGGCAATTTAATCTCCATGTTCATTCAGTGTTAAGAGTTTTCTCTGTTAAAATTCATCTTCCTATAGCACAGAGGTTTTGTGTTGTAAAGTGGAAATGAGATAGGAGGGCAGTGGCATAGACAGCAGAGGGAGGCATTTGAGTTATTTTCCTTTTATCACTATACTGAGAAACCGAGTAACATCAAAACTGATTTCATGCCTCTAATGTGTTTTAGAAAGAAGACGAATCTGAGAAGCCCCTCAATGAGGAACTCTGATTCTTTCTCAGCCAACAGGATGACTGTGCCCAGAATCATCTTATTCTGGTGTATTAAGAGTTCACTTCACCCTGCAGCTCGACAATTTCTGAACCAAGTTGGTCATGTATTCCCATCACCATTCTATGTATATATATGCTGTCTATCCTCTCCAGAAATCTCTTATCTCTTCTCATTTGTTGGCTCCAGTTCACTTCTTTTCAGTACTCCAGTACCTTTGGTATTGCCTTACGATGTGTCCTTCCATGCCACTCTGTTGGAGCAAAGAGTGGCGTAGCAAAATGGCAATATCAGAGGTAAAGCTAGTAGTTCCCAGGGATCTGTTTCCCTCATTCTCTTGGCTTTTGGTGATATGCTGGGATCCACTGTCAGCCTTTCCCGACACTACAAATGGGTTGCTTGCATGATGTCACATGAACTTTTCCATTTATTTTACTAAATAAAGCAAAAAGTGAATAGCCTGAATTTTTACTCAAATATATTGTTTCTCACTCCTCTTGTCTTTCACTTGAGGACAAAGTCTCTGTATTTCTGAATAAGCTTAAAAAATCTACTTTCTCTGAGTTTAACTTAGGCTTAGCAACCAACCAGGTTGGTTGCTAAAAATCATTCCCCGTGGAACTGGACCCATCATCAACAGATACAGGATGAGAGATTTCTAGGAAGGTTTGGAGTCAGAACAGCACTGGGTACAGCAGCTCTGAGGTAGTGCAGCAGAAATGAATTAGCCTAAGATGTTGCAGAAGGGCAGTAGAAAGTTGCCTTGCAAGACAGGGGATATTCCACACTACATTGGAGGGAAAGGCTAATGTCTGTGTATTGACCTCAGACATTCCTCAGAGGTCACAGTACTGGTATACAGGAAATGGGGACTTTGCAGGCAAGGTATATGAGCCATCTTTGTTCTGCTGTACTAGATGCATGCACTAGGCTTGACTCATACTTGGCTCAGCATCCTTTGGCATGAAGTATGGGTGCTCCTCTCAAATAGTGACTGCAATGTCTCTCAAGGCTTGAGAGACTAGGCCTTGGACAGGGAGCCTAAGAGGGGTAGAGCTGCGAAACCTTTCTCAGAGATTAGGCCAATGCAAAGAACTGTTAACAGAAAGAAGTTGTTCTTGCTTATGAAGGAAACACAGCTCCCCAAGGCAGAGGAAGAAGTCAGGAGTTGGAAGGGATGCAGAGTAACTGCCCAACACCATGATTGCCACAGCAGGGATGCAAGTGCTGTGTTACCTCTTGTCTCTTCCACTTGGATCATTCATTTAGCGAGAACTCTTGTCTCCCACACAGCTGGATTTATCTCTATAGTGCTGTATCCTCCCTTCTCCTCTGCTTATGTGAAGAAAACCTTATACTGTAATAGCTGGTACAAGGAATCAAAATCGCTCCACATTTCCAAGGAAGAGTGGTACAATCCAAATAGTACTGAGGATTCTTGACAAGGACAGGAAACTGTCTTCCTGGACAGGGAGCTCTCCCTTAAAAAGCAGAGCAGTGGGCAATATGGGTTCTTGGAAGCTCCATAGTCAAAGCAATAGCTAAGAATTGTTTCCTAAATTAGGCGGTTCAGAAAAGAGAAAAAAGAGGAAGGAGAGCAGAGAGGCAAACCACCTTTGCTCAGTTCTCCCCTTATCACAGCTGAGTGCTCCCTAAACTCTGTTTTGCATGTTGCCTATGAAAACCTGTGGTGTTGCTTCTGGACACAGCAAGATAATAACACTGAAGATGTTAAGGGAGAGATGAGTCTGGCACATTACATACTGATTCTTTCTTTATGCTGGTAAAAGTGGAAGCACATGCCTTCAGCCCATGAAACTGGTTTACTTAGGTGTCCCCTCTTCTGAGAAGCCATTTCACAGTGACCTTCTGTCACTAGCATGTAGTCCCAGATGTGGAGATGTTACCATCGTCAGCTGGAGCCAGAAGGCCATAAAGTTTGGCCCATAGATGTAGTATTCGTATAAGAACTGGAGTGAGTTGTCTCTGAAGCCCTCTTAAATGTTTTCTCTGAAGCATGTGACTGTTCAGGGTGGATCACATACTGACCACTGTGTTTGGTGCATTGGATTTACACTCTCATCCTTGAGCAGCAAGTGAAGACTGCTTCTCAGCAGCACTCTTTTGCATGGAGGGCCCTGCCTGGCAGCATCTCTAGCTGTGCTGCAGCCTCTCCTGATCAGTGAGCTCACCCAGGAGATGCCATTGCTGAGCAGAGCAAAGCATGCCCTCACCATCCACAGGGCCAGGGAAGAGAATTTCTGTACCAAATGACCTCTTGAATGAGCGTGTGTAGAGTGGCAAAATACATTCCTGAATTCTGCTGGATGCTCTTGTGGCTTTTGTGCATTGAAAAAGGACTACAGAAGTACAGGAGAGGTGCTGAGAGCAGGAGACTGAGCCTCAAAGAGAGGGGAAGGGTCTAAGGTGTCACAATATCTTGCTGCTTTTGCTCTGGGTATGGGCAGAGATTGCAGGTCTGGACTGGAAGACTGTGACCGAAGTGACTTTCGTGTTGGGCTCTGTGAAGGAGTGAGCACAGGGGTCAGCCCCTCAGAAGCACTATGGAGCCACAGGGTCCCTTCCCAGACACTGTCACACAGTACAGCTTTGAGGATAAGAGATGGCTTACTTTGCACTGGCCCAGGGACTAAGCAGAGCAAACTCACACCTGCATTCCAGAATCCCCATGTCAGTGGTGTATGATGATGCAGAGGGTTGACCTTGGCCGGACACCAGGTACCCACCCAGCCTCTCTATCACTCCCCTTCCCAGAGGGACAGGGGAGAGAGTAAGGTGGAAAAAAGGAAAAAACTTGTGGGTTGAGATAAGACAGTTGACTTAAAGCAAAAAGCAAAGTGAAGCTTGCACGTGCAGAAGCGAAAGATAGCAGGGTTTATTCTCTGCTTCCCATGAGCAACAATGGTTGGCCACTCCTAAGAAGCAAGGCTTCAATACATGTGATGGTTTCTCAGTAGGCAGCCATTAGACAATGAATGCCCACCCTCCTGCTCTGTGCCTTAGCTTTTATATCTGAGCTGACATCATATGGTATGGAATATTCCTTTGGTCAGTTTGGGTCAGCTGGCCTACTGACCAGGATCTTGCCCTCAACTGAGGAAGGAATGTTACAGTGTTGGTGCTGTGCTCAGCAGTAGCCAAAACACCGGTGTGTTATCAACACCCTTCTAGCTGCCAATGCAGAGCACAGCACTGAGGGCTACTGTGGGGAAATGAACTACAGCTCAACCAAACCCAATACAGATGATTTTGAATTCCTGGTTTTATACTAGTCCTAGAATGTGCAGGGCTGTATCTCCTGCCAAGAATCCTGCTCGCTTTCCCTCAGTTGGAAAACTGCTGCTTTTTATGGCTATAGCTTGTTCCTCCCTGGGAAGGGTTATATTCCTTCCTCTGCAGTATGGTAAAGAGGGAAGATCTGCTGCGGAGACATCTACGAGGAGTCCTGGCATTGTAGATGTTTCCAGTGTCATGCATGTCTGTGGTCCAGACCAAACAGTGTGGGGGGACTGGCCTGCTGCACAGGTGTCTGAGGTACATGTCTTGGCCCTGTGTAAACACAACAGCTGCAAGAATTGGGCACAGCGACGTGACTCTTCCTCAGTGCTGGAGGGAAAAAAAACAGGACATGAATGAAGCTCTGGTTCTGCAAACAAGCCTGGGAGTAAGAGCAGTGTCCCCAGTGACTGTGTTCGCTGTGTACACAGCTAATTATAGGTATAGCTTTTCAGGAGCTTCATTATGTACACTGGGGAATTTAATTCCCTCTGCACCTTGCAGAGCTCTGCACCGAACTGACAATCTTGGGAGCCACAAGGACACCAGAGGAAAGGCCTCCTCCTCCTCATCCAGCTGTTCTGTGGGACTTGCACAGCATGGACAGTCCTAGAGTGCTGGGCACAGATGTGGTGGTGGTGGAGTCACCTTAATCCCTGAGCTCGAAGGCTTCTGCAATGCAACTTTGGTGGGCTTAACCACTGCAATGGGCCATTTGAGGGAGAAACCAGATGCACAATGATGTGGATGGGGCAACCTCTTGTTTGTTGTTTCATTTTTTGTTGGTTTTTTTTTTGTCCAGTCGTGTTATCTCTGACCTGAATTTGTGGTGTACGTGGCCCAGATGTTTTGAGCTGTCTGGGGAGACTGGTTTAGTTTTCAATGGGAGGAAGTGCTAGATGCAAACTGACAGAGGGCAGGATGAGGGGGTTCCCTTTGCCCTCAGTATTTTGGAGATACTGTGATGTGAGAACCTCTGCTCTGCAGCAGCATCTGCACTCAAGGGACATTCAAAATACCTAAGAAAACAGCTGAGTCTGCCTAAGAGGAAAGTGAGGCTGCAGAGGCATATGAGAGCTGCTGTCTTTACTCCAGGGAACAGGGAATTGGGTTGCACTGTGGATGATGCAACTTTGCATTCATCTTTGGTAAGAAAGGATTTGAATGCCTCCAGAAGCAGAATATTACAAAGACTTGGAGGTTCAGTAAGCGGACAAACATTTTTGTGGTTTATTCCCCTGAACTGTTGTGTGGGGCATAAAATAAGTAAATGTTGCTTGGAGGTGAGGGCTGGGTCCCAGGGGTGCTCCCCACCTATACTCCCCAGGCAGAAACCAGCTGCCAGGTCCTAGTGGCACCATTCAGCTCTCTTGGGCACTTCTCTTTGGCATTTGCAAATGCCCTTGAGATGCAGATGTTTAAGTTACAGCCCTCTCCTCAGCATTTCCTACTGGTTGGTGGGCTGTTTCCCTGTGAAGTATTCATATTTCATCAGCACCTCTTCTGGATATACACATCCCTCAGGAGTCTGCTGGGTCATATATGTCAGCAGGCAGCAAGGGACCTGAGGGATGAGTTGATGTTGAGAGTTGCTGCTCTTCTGTCCCGAAGTCCACAGGGCAAGGCTCAGCTCTCTGTTGCTTTATTCCTCTCTTTTCCAGCAGCTGATGCAGTGCCAACTTCATGTAAATCATACTCATCATCAGCTTGAGCAAGGCTATTTGGGGAAGAGGACCTTTAACAGGATACATGTGGTGCATCAACTGTTTGTTGCAATCTCTCACTCCCGTGCTTCAGCAGAGAATTTTTCTTCCTTTTGTGTAGTACGGGCCCAAACCAAAGTCTGAACACTGCTGAATGTAGGGGATTTAAACCTCTGAACTAGCCCCCATCTGCTGCAGGTTGAAGGAAGACTTTCAATATGAACATGTCTGCCCTCAGCACCAGTTTCACTTCACGCAGAGTTCTGGATCTGGCTGTGAGTGTCTACTGAGCTGTGGGGAATCTGACAGGAGAAGGACCAGAACAATCTTTGCACCAACACTGAAGAAGAGGAGTGGGCACTGGTTTCTGTACATGAGTCTGTCTGGTTAGCATTGCTCCTGCTCTTGAAAGTGGCTGGGAGATGCTCAGAGCCCTCTGACTGCCAGCATGAAGGGAAGAGA